ATGCTATGTAAAATCCACAAAAACATATTAACTTAAGGTTACTTTAAAAAAATGAATTCTTAAAAACTATTTGTCATGCAACAAATGTGCAATTAACACACCTCTTCTATGTGGAGGTATAATAATCTCTGGCACCTCCTACAAAAAAAAAATCATCCAATCTGTGTTGTCATGTTTGGCTGATCATGCACGTCAAGTATCTCACTGATTACTGCAATTTTGGAAGAGATATATGTGTTGAACACCACACTAGGGAAACACACAACAGAGTGAAGGACCCTATCAGTGTTGTTCCTACTCCAGTAACCTTTTAGCTGACTAAGCCAGCTTTTCAAAATTTGGTTGTGTCCAGCTTAAAAAGGTCAAAATTGTGCATGTTCAGATTTCATGCCAGAAAAAATCTTATTATATTTTTAAAGTACTTATACTCTAAAATTATTATAATAGTTGAATGTTAATTATACGCATTTAATAAATAGAAAATTAAATGCCACTTATTGCAATTCTCATGAAAAACACTTTCAGATCTCTACTTGCTAAATTTTGTCATAGGTAAAAATGTAGCCCTATTTATTTCGATTACTCAATTTCCATCTCTCTTCTTAAAGCATGTAAAGCTTTAATTTACCATACAAATAGAAGTTGAATAGAATTATTTCAAAACCATTTTTTTAATTGATGAAATTTTCTCCACAACATAAAAACAAAACCAGAAAAAAACAACTAAGGACATATTCTGTCCAGGGTGTATATATACCCTGTTTATTGCTACATATCTCAAATCCTCAAATGCAGGTGCTGTGAGCCCAGGAATGCTGAAAATGAAGACCCAACCTATGAATGATCATGTAATACTGGAGAAGTAATATGAGATGTATTACTGCATTAGTGCAACTGACTAGGGTAGACTTTCCTTACGCTGCATGAACTCTTTTTCTGCCAGTAGTGCCCTACTTTTCTGTAGTTTTACTTACACCCTTTTGGTACAGGGCGCCTTGCAGAAGACTTCCTGTTTTGCTGTGCACTTCTCATAGGATCTTGCAAAGACATCATGTTGCCTGAGAGCACCCTCCTCCATCAGAGTCTGGTGCCTGTGTAATACAGTATTTCCCTTTTCCAACAGGTGGTACTGGTCTATCATAGCCAAGAAGGCTGGCTTCAAGCTCTCCAATTCACTTATCAAAGGAACTGAGCTCATGTCACATTTCTTCTGGATATCATGTCCTTTCATCCCTATTCTCTAGCAATAACTCTCTCAGTCTTTTCTCCTTTTTTTTTAAGCTCTGCTTTCAGCTGCTCTGTGATTCAGTCTCTTTTTCCATGAGGGACTTAAAAGTCCCATTCTAGTTTACTACATTTCAGCTTGTGTAACAGACTCAGTATCATGGCATATATCTGAGCTCAAAAAAATAGAGTTGAGAGTAGATAATTTATTAATTATTTTCTAATAAAAATATAAATACAAATATTTTCTCACGTGTCATGAATTGCAGGCTGCTATCCTATGATGTGGAAATACATCTATATGACTGAAAACATTATTAACGAAAAGTAATTATATTTTCCCCTTCTTCAGGAGAAAAAAAAAACCACAACAGGCTAGTACAGAGTTCAGTGATTCAAGACATACGAAGATAACAACGAAAGGCTGGAAGGGTAGATTTTACTTGCTTTTACCCTTTTTTTTTTGTTAAATCTGACCATTTCCAAACACAGCAGTGGCTTCAGATTTCAACAACAAATCCTCTCTCACTTCAGGGGCAGTGAATGTCAGTAGTATGATTTTCAGCAGGGCTGCCCCCGTGAACTCACCAGCCCAATATATAGGACTGCATATAGCAGAGCCAGTCCTACCAGTGCTATAGCAGTCTTAACCATGAAGCCGAAACTGACATTTAAAATATCCCAAACTCAGATCATTTAGATCCAAGAATGTGATTTATCGTATTTTTAGAGAGTGAAATTTTGGAACTTTAATGAGCTTCAAATATAAGTGAGGACTATGAATCCAACTTAACCATAGATTTCAAGAAATGAAGTTCAGAGGCAGCTTTCCTGTGAGCTCATTTCTTTTCCTAACTGGGTAATATGTTTGGTCTTTACGGCTCACCATTGGTCTCTTATAGCTCTAAAACAGGAAAAGAGAACTTCTATCTTCATGCAGACCTAACTCTAATGAATATGTCTCACACTACTTATAAGCAGCAGCTTCTAGAGGCTGTTTAGTCAATCTTTAAAAGAAATGTCATATTTCTCTCTCACCTTGCTAACAGACATATAGGGTGATCTACATGTGTGCAATAGGTCTCAGATGTACAGCAGAGATGCATGGGCTAGTCTTCCTCCTCTCTGCTTTCTGACCCATTGAAATGAAAAAGTAGAATAACCAGCATCTTATATCAAATTCCTATCCCTGCTCTCTGATGGATCCACTACTGACTCTGTAGCCAATTTTGAAGCTTTCAGAAGAGAATGAGCAGCTGTTTTGGGAATAATTTGGAAATGGATTGGGACTGGAGAAACTCTTGGCCTCATCTCTTATTACCAGCCCCAATATACAAGCAGGCGGAACAAACCCAAACCAGAAAAGAAAGTAAGCTGGGCCAGGAAAAGGACACTAGAAAATTATCCAGCCGTGGCAGAAATTCATAGCAGTGGTGGCAAGGTCTCAATTTAATCCTAAAGATTAAATCCTGAAGTCATTCCTTACTTCTCATTCATGGAAAACTTTTCTAACAGCAAAAATGCTCACACAACACTATTTCTTTAATGAGCAAAATGATTCCCTGCTGCATATCTGTGCCACTTTACACACCCAGAATCCAACTAAGTCTTTTTCAGATGTTCTGAGCAGTTTGGTAACATCTTATTTTTCATTCCATTGATCTGTACATATGAGCTTCTGTTGACATCAGAAATTAAATTGCCACAGAAGCTTTTTCTGCTGGTATTTCTAGCTGCAGTGGTAGCAGTGAAAAATCTCCTATGCTGACTGTTGTAGCTTGATTTTCAGCCAGTTCTGTGGGCTGCAGGAGCTAAGGGAGTTAAGATAAGGCTATGAACTTGTATACAGTTATCTGAATCTTACTTGCGAAATTTTCATCATAATGGATCCCGTGGGATGTCAGCAGGCTCTAGAGAACATTAGCCATTTTCCCAATTTCATAACACTAGGACTGGTGAATATTGTCAGATATTGCAAGACATTATTTGCTGGCCTGAAATGTGATGCTTATATAAATATGTCTGGAACATACAATACCTCTGAGGGACTAAATTGAAAATAACCAAAGGTTTTCAAAAAGCAGCATAAATTCAAGGGTGAGGTGGGAGGTGAATTTTGATGTGCTTTCTTACATCTGCAATTGTCTAAGTATACTTATGGTCATGAAGAAGAAGCTGGGAGATTTCTGTGAAAAGATGTCAATATCTTAATATTCTTCCTAGAAGAATAAAGTGCAAATTTCTGTGTCTTCTGACACAGAAGAGCATTTGTAAAATCAGCTTCAAAATGCTGGGTGTTGTTTTTCTTTTGCAATCTTTCAGTAGTAAGTGCTCCCACCTAGGAAGGTTAATACAGGTGTCTGATTGCTCTTTTTAGACGTACTGATATATGAAAGACTGTGTGGGAGATGGGCTTTCTTTGTTTGTGTTTATTTTGGTGTGAGGGAGGCAAAAGCTATTTGTAAAACAGTGAGTTGCAAATGTGCTGCTCATTTATGAAACTGTGGCTGTGTTTCAGATTCTTTGAAACTACGGGTTTTTTTACTTACCTGATTCTTTGTAGTTTTGAATGTTTGCTGCAAATTAAAAAAAAAGGGGGGGGGGGAGGGGGAGAAAAAGACAATACTAACCACTTTATCTTATATAAGAAAGCCGTAAGGTGCTGCAAATGGAAACTGCATAAGAAAGGGAGAGAAAGGAAAAGAAAAAAAATGGAGAGCGCTTAGTGATTTTTCACAAATTGAACCACTGTGCTTTTATTCCCATCTTGTCATAGATACCAAAACCACAAATATATAGATAAGAAAGTATCGGCCACTTTTAGCTGTAAAATACGAGGCTATCCTTAATCCCCTATCAAGAGCTTTGAGTGTAGTGATACAAAACTGAATCTTTTCTGTAGCATCTGAAGCAATCACTGCTGAAGGGATCTGTACACTGACTTTAATCAGAGCTGGATCAACTAATTAGGTTTCTCCTGGCATCTAAACTGACATGACCGTCTGCATAAAGGACTCAAAAATGATGTCTTGTCTTTGAAAACAACCAAACACTTCTGTATTCTGATCCTAACTCTAATGATGTTCCTTCACTGGGTTTGTATAGGGACAGAACATTAGCCCTGATAATATATCTGTACATGTGAATATTGTTTTTCATTAACAAAATATCTCAGCATACAGACATAAATTACTTGCACTTTAAAAACCAATTTTACTCATAGGTGTTATGAAGAGTTCAAGTTTCATGTAATGACAGCTTTGCTTAATAAATATTTAAGAGTTGTGGGGTTTGTTTAAATAAGTTAATTTTACAGAAATACAAATTCCTGGAGCAGCATAGCTGTTTGGTTTGTTTTGAACTGGATCATTACACAGATCCTGTTTAGGGTGCAGCTAAATCTGTGTACTGTGACAACTAAACCAGTGGAGAGGGCTGCAATGTCTACCAGTGGTAGATGAGGCTTCCTGTATAATTGGTTCTGATGGTAACAAAGTAACACGGACCAGGCAGTAGTTTCAACCAAACACATAAAAGTAATAGGTGTTACCTTGAGTTTTTCTTGGTGAAGATCCTGGTATGCAGTGTCGACCCATCCTTGCACATTAGCAATGCCCACACTTCCTCAAACTTTGGCTGCTTGAAAATATTTGTATCTTGGTGTGTTGACAATGTGTCTTTGAACATCTCTAGTTCCAAAACATAATACTAGGACAAGGACAGAGATACTGTCACAGAGTTCTTAACTAAATATATCCTTTTTTTTTTTCTTTCAGAGGTGCGGAGAAATCTCATTTGATAGTCCTGGCCAGAATGCCAAATGTGTTCGCATGCTAGGTAAGGGTGAGTCTTTTCTCCTTTTGATATAAGTGTGTGGAAATACATTTAATTGGGGATTTCCTCTCAAAAGTGCATAATAATGGCCGGGGTGATTGACATAGTTCATCTACATGTAGTCCTCATCAATATGTTCTTTATGGTGAATTTCCTATTATTGAAACAAAGTACATATATATCACAGAAATATCCATCTGCATAGATGAAAATATAGCTGTACCAACACCATAGTTGTAACCTCTGATGTACTCAATCCAGAACTCATATTTCAAAGCTGAAAATCTATTAATTCCACAAATATGTATCACGAGCCTCTAGGTCAGACCTTCAGCTGCATCCATCAGCAAAATTTCAGTCACTGTGATTTTACAGATTTCTGCTGGTGTAGCGCTCTGCCTATGGTTTATAAAATTAATATTAAGTAGAAGTGTCTGTTCTTTGAAAATAATACAAGAATGCTCTGCTATGTTTCATTAATTTCTGGGACCAATTTTATTGTATTTGCTTGTTTCATATACAGTGGTAGTACTGAAACTTTAACAGCATGGCTAGTATCACAGTGAAAGACAAGGAGTAAGTGTCTAAAAACCTAAAAGATGATGTTTTATCAGAAAAAAAATGAAATCAGGGAACACTTGCAGGATTCAGTTTTAAATTCTGAAAACCTTTCATCCATCAGGGTTGAGATAAATGTATCCTGTAAATTAGAGTATTGCATCTAATAACATGAAGATTGAAATAGTCACAATTTTAAAAACTGCAATTGGCAATGTCTAGGAACTTAATTCCCATCTGGGTGCATAGCTGTGTTTTGTAATAACAGATTATGTGGTTTGTTGTTTATATTCATTAAATCCTATTGTCACAATAGACTATAATTTCTGCAGAGGAAATCTGTCATGCTTATAATGTACAGATCCCAACAGATGAACTGACACAATGGGCCATAATGATCTGTTACATCAATGATCCATGGTTAGAGGTTCTTAATGGAACAAGCTGACAGAAAAGATACACTTGTGATCCTTATCATGCCAATTATAATCTACAGCTTTAATACCATTGAGATTGTAATACTCTAGTTCTAAGGAAGTTATATCCATGCAAATGTTATCATCCATTATGAGCTAAAAAGAGGGATGGGAGAGGGGTGAACAAAAAAATTTTGTGATGATTAAAGTCTTTTGCATGGCTTGGTTCATCAGTTGGTTTGGCATTTTCATAACACAGTCCAAAATTGTGAGTTTGACATCATTTATGCAAATGATTCTTTAGGAACAGTGAGCAGAGCAAGATTTTGTTTCCATTACATATATTCTTATCTATGTCTTGTACTATATGCGTGTACAAAAATGAGAAGATATGCTGTGCTCCGTAAGGAAACTGCTAGGAATGTAAAAATGATTTCAAGAGGACATGCCAAAGGTGTGACTAGCTCTCAGAGGTTACATCTCTTGTACTTAAACAGATTTCACCTGCTATTATTATTCATCAGTGTCTCTAACAAATTAAGGACTGTAGTGTCATATGTAATATAGGATATTACATTTCACCCCAAGGTATCCCAAATTACGTTCAGAGCTGAGTGCAAGTGCATATCCCACAGATGGCTCTGTAAGAGGTATGGAAGGTAGAAACTTGCATGATATGGTTGATCTGAGGGGCAGCTACTGGAGACAAACTCCATGGTCTTGATTTATCATAGAAATGTGTGTGGTTCTGGCAGTGCTGTAAAGCCAGATGGTGCATTCCAGTACCTCTCCTTTCATACTGAACTCTGTGTGTAAGAGCAGGAGCCAGCAGTCATGCAAGCTAGAAGGTCTAAGACACTGTGCTGAATACGTCGTGTAGTGTCCAATTTCAGATTTTACAAGGGAATTAAATTTCCAAGGGAACGAAACACAAAGTTTGTCACTGATCTATGCAAAGCTGACATTATAACAGCTGTGGTTATAAGTAACTGAACAAAGCACAATGTGCCTTCAGAAAGGGACATCTTTCTTGACTGCGTGGTCTTTAAGGTATGCTGAAACAGTCATGCAGTCGTCTACTGTAACAGTGACACAGTGCTGACAGAAATCTAGAGGGCAAGTCCCGGCAACTGCAAGAGGATAGCTACTTACTAAGGAAAAAAATACAGAAGTCTGGAGTACTGGCTGTATTTCCTCAGGGATCTTTGACATAAGACCAGGCCATGCTTGGAACTGTACAGCAGTACTCTGAAGTTGCAATAGCTGGGTTGTTTGGCTTTTTGTTTTTCAGAAACAGTCTGTATCTGGGTTATGTTACTGGTTCTGAGTGAGCTTCAGATTTAAAGGTTTTAGGAGTAATGTTATCCTTGCTACTGTGAGTCCACTTTCCTTGAGGTAACATGGATTATATGGATGAGATTCTTTTTCTGTATAGCTGAGGAAGAGAGGTTTGCAGTAAAAATCTTACTCTGTTCCTATCTTCCTGTTAGAAAACAGGAAATAATAGATGAAAAAATGCTTAAACACTTACAATGGCTATAGTAAAAGTGGGTAACTTTTCAACAGACAAACTAGATATTGGTTAACCTAAGGATAAGAGCAAAAGAATCAGTTTAATGCCTCATCTTTAAGCATCTGAGTGATGGATATTTATAATCCAAGTGAGAATAATAACTTGAACAACTAAATTAAAAGGTCACTTAGCAGTGCTTCCTGAGGATATAATAGACAATGTGCTCTACCCAGGATACGCTTACGATCAGTGTAACTACAGGTACTGAGATTCTTTCAGAAAAATATGTTCTGCATCTTATTCTTTATATTGAGTTTGTTTCCTTACACCTTGATATGTTGTACTAATTAAAGCAATACTTTTGTAACCATCACAGAAGAAAGTCAGTCAGTGGCCCACCATAGCCTTTTGAAGACCAGTGTTCACAACCTAAACCTATCAAGAATTTCCTGAGCCTGGCACTGGCTAAAGCTTTAAACATCCCTGCACATCCATTGTCCTTTGAAAAATGGCAAGAGAAGTGCTTTCTCACTTCTTAGGAACAGCAAGAACTAATTTCTAAGTACAATGAGAAGGTGAAGTACTATAGTAATGCAGGTAATGAAAATACCACACTGTTGATAAACATGTGTTGTCAGAGTTTTCCCTAGAATATCTGAGTCTCTCTGGAGGCACTTCCAGTGCAAGCTAGAAAGTCTACACTATTCTACTTAGCCTAGATCTGTTATCAAGTTAGTGAGGGCACTCAACTGTGGCAAAATTGCTAGATAATGCTGAACTGGATATCAAAAAGCTTTTGCTTTATGCTACATTCTGGAAGTTAGAACCCTGGGACCCTCATGTCCTTTATTTATAATGTTTGTGACTTAAAAAAAAACAATAGCACAAAAATTGAGCATATAGCAAGGTACAATGGTTATTAGTGCAGATATTCATATTATGAAGGGCAGAAGCAAACTATCTTTCTCCCTACAGCGCCCACTGCAATTTTCAATGGCACAACCTGTGGTTAATTTTCCCATGTGTAGACAGACATATTCTGGACTCAGACATGACACAAGGTGGTATCATGCAGAGATAATTGGGTTAGTTTGCTGTGAAAATTGCTGGTTGGAGGCCTAAGCTAATTAAGTCTGCTGGGAAGAATTGCATACTAGCTTGGAAGAGTCCAAAGTTAAGGCAAATTAACCAGTTCTCACATCTTAACTAGCTCATCCAAAGCTAACTCTGTAACCTCTGCATGGCAGAGCACTGAGTTTTATGAATTTATCCTGGAAAGAGTAATGCTCCCATATAAGGCTCTAGGATTATTACAGAAGGAAAACAGTCTGCCAACTAGAAAAGAAATTTCAGTGTATAAATAACAGTTTGTACAGAATGAATATGTTTATCCACATATTATAATTATAAATATACAGCATAGTATATTTGCTGTATAGAAATTAGGCAGCTGCACTCATCATGACACAAAAATTAAATGATCACACTGGTTTTAATCTGTTCAACCTTACTGATGACAGTGAAGTAAGTGGGATGGATGGTAAAAGCAAATTATCTAGTTCATTACTTTAGTAACCAGACTTCTATCACTAGATTTGGTCTTCACTCCTTACTGAAACACTGGGTAGATTTTGAAGAGGTTGCATCTCTTGCTGGCCAACCCTGCAGTCTATGCAGGTTCTTCCAGGGGAAATGTGAATTGCCCTCCTTAAGGAGCTAGTTAGTAAGATGAAAACACTAACCTTCCAGACACCCCATGGCAAGTCACTGAGGTGCTTTCTTTTCATTATTGTAAATTCCATGCAGACAGGAATAATGTGGGTGAGTTCTGTTTTCCTTTTGGCGTAGACTTAATCGCTGTAAAAGCAGACAAATGAATCCTTGTTTGGAATAAATGCAGTTTCCTCACAAACAGCCATTTAAAATTAACCCATGGAAGAATAGTAATCAAAAAAAAAGAAGGGAGGTAGGGGGGTGGCAGTTTTTTGGCTTCTTTTTTTGTTCCCCAGACTACTAGAATGTAACTTTGTAGCTCTAAGGCAAAAAAATCTTTCATATTCCAGGACAGATAGGTGCCTACCTCATTCACTCCCCCCAAAGAAAGCTGCTTTGTGGCATACTTCCGCTGTTTATTACCTATGGAGAGTTATGATTAAAGGAATCAGCATTTAGCCATGAAATGAGTTTCGTGGATGCAGCTTCAGTCTTGGTGGCTCTTTGCCCACAGCAGAAAACCACCACACATTTGAACACAGTTGGCAGCTGCAGCTTAAAAGAGAGAGACATTACTGGAATAACAACTGTGTTGAAAGCCAGGACTGAGGGATACTGGCAAGGCCCTGGCTGGCTGGCCTCTGCCTTACATAACTGTTGAGCTCACCTTCACTGGAGCAGGGGAATCTATTAAAATTTACTTTGAGAAACTTAATCAGTTAAGTAATCATATAACTAACTGGGAAAAATAAACATTGAAGAATGGTTAAAAAAGTCAGTTTGCCCTGCAGTGGAGGGAGTAAAAGAAA